ATCCGACGAGCAATGAGTACTTATTTCATTGTATCGTTACTTCCAGACGACTTCTCTCGAGCAAGCAACAATTTCATTGGAAAATTGAGGTGAGCTAGGGCCGCCACAGTTACGTTGGTTGCAGGGTGGTTGCTTTGCTTTTAATTAATGAACTGACATGAAAGTTGATGATGGATCAGGTCAAATTTTCTGGGGACCAAGTTTTCGATTTATGACAGTCAGCCTCCACACGACCCGAAATTGCGAACTAGTAGATCAAAACGAAGAATTCATTTGAAACAGGTTTCTCCAAGTAAAACTCCAACCAACTATAAAGTCGCTGCCGTAAGCTACGAGCTGAATGTCCTCCGCACCAGAGGGCCGAGGAGAATGAGGTGCACAATGCATTCGATACCTGTTGCAGCTGTGGAGGAGGGCGGCACTGCCCCAACTCCAACAGAGTTTAAAGACTGCATCGATGACCATGATTCATCTACGTCGAGTTGCAAAGGAAAGAAGCCAATATGGGAGTCGTCCCCCGAGCCTCTTGAATCGACAGCACCGTTGGTATTGAAGAACAAAGCTCCAAGATGGCATGAGCAGCTGCAGTGTTGGTGCCTGAATTTCAAAGGGCGTGTCACGGTTGCATCTGTGAAGAATTTCCAGCTGGTTGCTGCAGCAGAGACGAGTGAGAATGTGTCTGCAGCTGAACAAGAAAAAGTGATTCTGCAGTTTGGGAAGATTGGGAAGGATATTTTCACGATGGATTATCGCTACCCTCTCTCAGCTTTCCAAGCGTTTGCAATCTGCCTTAGTAGCTTTGATACCAAGCCAGCTTGTGAATGACAGACACCATTACTCAAACAACTCGCTCCAAAATTTTCCAATTGTATATATTATTAAGTATCTTGGTTTAGACATTGAATTCAGTAATGAGGCAACAATTATGAATCTGCGATGAAGGTAGGTAGTAAATCTAAATTATGCTCCAAAATCTGTATTATCTAATTCTTCGTCTAATTCGGATTCAGCAGAGTTCATTTATCTATACTCCAAAATCCTGAGATCACACTACATAAACTCCAATAAGTGCCATGGATACTCCCTACGAATGCATTCAGAGTGGGCCGCTAAACGGCACTTCTTGCAGGACTACGTTAATTGTTGCATTAAAGTTTAACTCATAGTTAAAGTGAAGTCAAATTTTGAAAGCCTAGAATAGAACATGAAGCACGGCATGTATCTGGACATGAGTAACATGATATAGAATATCATCCAAATCAAAGCAGAAAGCTAGCTTGAGCCACGACTTTTGCTTAAGTAACGAACCTACACTTCTTACACTCTCTTTAAGTATGTGTTGAAACACGACCTTTGCCAAGCTACTAAACGAGATAGATCTCCGGGTATCACCTTGAAGGAAGCCCACCAAAGCTAGATTTCAAATAGGATAGGGAAAAAATAAATGAGTTCATGTCACAACCACAACCTTTATGTGAGAAAAGTTCTGTTGATGCCTTTTTTTGTTTTTAAAATCTTAAAATTGTATTTGCTTTTATTTTATTTCTCAAACTTTCAAAACTTATATTTAGTTCTCACAAGTTTTATATTAAAGTCTTAATTCTTACCCTAGAAGTAAAATTTGAAGATATGATACATGGATAATTGATGGTGTTCAGCCCTCTATTTTCCATATACATAGTAGCCTAATAACAAAAAAATAAAAATAAAAAAAAAATAAAAAAAATATAGAAAATTGAAAGCTCAAGTAACATAGAACGTGTCTTAATCGATAGGTCAAACATTTAAATTCTTCTGATGTCTTTACGTTGAAATAATAATAATAACAAAAAGCTTTTACTAAAAATTTAAAACTGAAAGATAAATGAAAGAATAAAATCAGAATTTAAAAAAATTTGGAGATCGCAGTAGAAAAGAAAAAAAGATAAATGTCTAGGCACTTGTCATGTCCATGAAACTGTAGCTAAAGTCATTTTGTAGTTGCAGTGCATCTATTTCTGAGAGAAGGAATAATCATACTGAAGATGGAATATGTGTATGGTATATTATAGCGTGCAGCTGAATAAGAAAAGGGAAGAAAAACCCAACCATAAATAGGAAAAGTAAGTTTCAAAAGCATTTTTTTACAAATTCAAAGGTGATTTGAAACTTTTATTATGGGCACATTTAAATGTCAAGAGATGGGCTAAGAATTGGATCTAATCCTCCTCCACCAGGCTGTAAATTTTCCAGAAAATTCTACCTTCTGAAGATACTTAAATGAAAAGAAAAGAGACTTTTCCAAAGGATTTCACTACAGCCAGTCCCCTTGACACTCTCACTACCCTCTGCTCAACAAAACGAATCATATCTTTTAGCCTTAAATATTATTCGTCAACTTGCACCGATCCCACTACACAAGCACTCCACCTCCAGTATATAAGGAGCAAAGGACAATAATTCACTTACCATCCCTCAGCTTCTTCTTTTCCCTAAGCTTCTCTGCCATATCCCAACGTCCATACCCACCATTCTCTGTCCCAAACTAACTGAAAATAATGGCCTCAAGCTCTCGCACGACGGCACATGGCTTTTACTCATCCTGGACAAAAAGGGAAAACAAAAAATTTGAGGAGGCATTAGCCTTCTATGACCAGGACACACCAGACCGCTTTGAGAACGTGGCGAGGGCTGTTGGTGGTGGGAAAACAGCTGAGGAAGTAAGAAGGCTCTATGAGTTACTGGTGCGAGATGTCAACAAAATCGAAGCTGGTCAAGTTCAAATACCCCTCTACAAGAACGTTGGATATAATGGCGGACCACCAGAGGCAATATCCTACTTGCTGAATATTTCCTCTACGAAATCATTCCAGGTCTGAATCCTATCCTCAGTGATCTTCTCCTTTCAACTCGTACATTAGAATAAATGTTCTTAATAAGAAAATTATGTCCTAGAATTCCTGGAGAAATATATTGAGACGATTCTATAACTGGCTGTTGTTAAGATATCGTTTGATGTGTAGTAAAATGTTCACTAAGTCAGCCAAGCCACGAAGCTTATTCACACGCAGTATAATCCAAGCTAATAGAAAGAAATGTATTTACAGAAGAATAATTTAATTCATCAATCTTCACAACATCGCACATTCAACTTCTACTTCCCACTAGATCAAGCAAAGAGTCTGAAAGTTTCCTCAAAATCAAGTTAAAAAGGGATACTAATTCCACAGGAAATATGATTAGGGGTGAATATGTTAATGGTGCATGAGTAGTAGCCATGCCTGCCATCTGAGTCACAGAAAAAGGTTGACAATGGGATATTGCAAATCTTGAAACAGGCATTTATCGTAAATAACGATGCAGTCCACGTATCCCTCGAATGCATCCCTTTTTCTCTAATGGCTACCACTTTACTAAAATGGCGGGCACTCCCCTGATCCAATGCAAGTTTATCTTGCGAGTATGTGACTATGTAATTTTCTAAGATTTTCCATTATCCTTAAGTATTCCACTTTCTACGAAACCCACATAATCTCTAACCTCGAATGCAAACGATACCATTATTTGGAATCCATACTCCATTATGTAATTTTTCCTTTCATTCTCATCTTTTCTTTCAGTGTAAAATGCTCAAGAAGAATTTAAAGCTTCAGTAAAAAGTTGCCTGGAATGCGTATAAACAGAAACAAGTTCTGTGCAGATGCAGATAAAAGTGAAATGTGTGTGCTACTGAATCAGTACAGCACACGTCAAAATGTAATAAATGAATAAATTCCAGCTAGAATACTGTTGTAATTTAGCCAAAAACTGTACCTGCCTCATGCGGAATCCCTTTTGAAATGGCATACACCATATTTAATCGCTTCTCTTGTTTATTCTACTTCCCGTAGTCTGAGAATCGATTAACGCTATTTTTAATACCGAATCAAATGAATGTAAAAATCGTTGCATAGTTATATCAGAACACAGACTAAAACGATTAATAAATCCAACTATATTGATATATATATATATATATATATCAGATGCAAGCAGCCTTAATACTAAATTTCTACGTGAGACTGCAAAGAATCGCATAATATCAACTTTCAATTAGCCCGTGCAGAGTACCAATTCAACAGGAGAGCAGATATAAAATGTATAACGCGATAGACAAAGGACATTATGGAGATGAGAACCGCAACAGAACCAAGAAATTTGATTATGCTACTTCTAAAATGGAATCAGAGATGAGCAAATCGTCGCTCACAGTTTCATATAGTGTTACTGACCTTTACGACTCTGATGAGGTAGCAATTGGAATTACAAGATAGAGATAGCTGATTCGATTTGAGGAACCGCGCGAACAAAGAACTGGAACGATCTTCTTGGAGAGCGCGATTACAGTTGCTTCCCGGTAAAGTGAGATTAAAATTTGAGTCCGCCTTTTGAGAAACGATTGACGCGGGAATATCCATAAAAGTGGTCCTACATTACGGACCGATCCGAATCATCGGATATTATTATTTAGGTTAAAATAACATTTTAGCATTTTTAAGTTCACTTTTAATGGTGAATTAATAAAAATAATCCTAAAATTTGTACTTTCTATCTCAAAGTTTCAATAGTATTTCTAATTTTTCAAAAAAAATTAAAAAATATCGTTAACCTTAGTTTTAGATAAAATTATTAGTTTTAAAAATAATAGTTATTTTAAGTTAAAAAAACTTACTTGAAAACAATTTTTCTATTTCGGTATTAAAATTTCTTATATTTATATTTAAAAAATGCTAGTAAATGAAAGAGTCTCTAGATTTATTTATTTATTTAATGTTTTGATATATAAGAAAGAGAGAGAAAAAATAATTCAAAAAGTGTATGAGATTAAATAATAAAAGGGGGAATTGAGAGGGTACTAACAAAATGAGGATAAAAAGGTTAAAAGAAAAAAAAAAAAAGTTAGACATAAAGTTTCATGAGGGGCAAATAAACAGAGATTTTGTTCATATACGACAAAAATCGAATCAAATGAATATTAAATATGTCTATGAAAATCGAATCAGATGGATATTAAATATGTCGATATCATCTTTCATCTTTAAAACCTACGTGTAAGTTAGTTGGATGTCAATTTTGACCCATTACACCCCAAAGGCCAATTTGATGCTAACATATGGCATGGGACAGAAAATGGCCCATCGCTTGAGAACTGCCAATGAAATCGGCTCTGCCCAAAAGACCAAACACAATGAAAAAGGGAAGTAGTTGGCCAACGTCTCGTCACTTTCGGATATTCAAAGTTATTTGGTTCCAAAGTGAGAAGAAGACTCACCCAACCGCAGCATTTCTCCAGCTAAAATCATCAAAATTCAAGCTTCCTGGTGTACCTATAGATCAAGTTCTCAGACGAAGAAACACGAATGAGAAACTGAGCTCTGTGTTTCCTCCCATCATGTCAAACAGATGATGGGGCGACATAAGATAAGATTACACAACAAATGCCACAGCCACATATTGATTCTCTGCATTTATGATTATTATGATCAATGTGGCAGAAAAGTTGAAATGAAGAACAAGGTAAGAGATGGATCATAAAGTCATTACAGACTGTTCTGTCATTGAATATGCGCAAATGAACAAGCGGTTTCTAAATCACATTAAAAGCAGGCATTCAGAGGAACATTCTATCAATATCACCACCATATGATACATGTATGTTGACGGCCATACAAGTGATGTCAACCAATCTAAGAAAAATAAATGGCACATGTCATTTCATTATTTAGCATAGATGTTTAGAATATCCAACCTCGAGGTACCGAACGAATATACGTTGTCGAGTCCTCTGCTCCCACATAATTGGCATACTTTTCATTCAGTGGGTACATTGATTGGGATATTTGCTAACATGTACTCTTTTCAAACGGAGTCACTGCCCCCAAGCACAGGCCCTATTATCATATGGCACATAGACAGCAATCACCAAATAAGTATCACAAATCACATGAAGAGTAGCAAATAAATGAATTAAATGATAAATCTCCGCGGCAGCAGCACTAAGGTTTTGTCAATTGTTCAACTTATTCTTTCTCTTTACTCCTAAAAAGGGGTCTATCTTGAACTCCTGCTACTACATGGTTTTCAATTTTAAACAGGACATTAACAAGCAGGATTTGTGTCCATGACCATAAACCTAAACGGTACAAATCTTATGCTCTGCATCCAACCGACAGAAATTTGAGGCGTCTCCTGTGAGATCCCACGTCGATTGAAGAGGAGAACGAAGCATTCTTTGGTGTGGAAACCTCTATCTAGCAGACGTGTTTTAAAAACCTTGAGGGGAAGCTCGTAAGGGAAAGTCAAAAGAGGACAATATCTACTACCGGGCTATTACATCTCCAAAACCCAAATATAGAATCTAGAGTGGTAAATGTTTGTTAAAGTAAGGCACATTAAAATGCAGTACCACGAAGAAAGAAACACATTTAAAGTGAGTTCACCTCAAACACCATGCATAAGTATGATACACCGCATGCAATGGATGAAAGAAACACAATTCGCAGGGCAAACAATTGAAGCTCCAACACAACAAAGAAAGACTATTTCAGTTTCTATCCATCAAAAGAGAAAAATATAGATTTTTCATCTTCAACCACATGTAATATGTGGAAATAATCAGTCTGTGGTTGTCAAATGAATTAGTCAAGGTGCGCGCAAACTGACGTGATCATTTATCGACATAAAAAACTTGGAAAGAATCAACATGAAAAAATATAATAAGGACATGAAAGTTTTACCCAAGATTGAGAATGCTATTGAGTGGATCAAGAAGCTGCGGCTGCCGTTGATGCTGTTGCTCCTGCTGCTGCTCTTGTTGCTGCAGCTGTAAGCTAGCACCAGCAGCCACTGCTGCTGCGCTCGAAGAAGCTCCCTTTGCCTCAGCAAGCCTCCACATATACCAGGACCCAACCGATCGATACGGCCTCCACTTCTCGCATAATTGATCCATTTGTGATGGTCGAGGCAACTCTTCAAGATTGTAGAGAAGCCGAACACCTTTGCGAACATTAAGATCGTTGATAGGAAGCACATCTGGTCTGTGCAGCGAGAAAATCATGAACATATGAACAGACCAAGACCCAATTCCATTCACCATTGTGAGCATCGTGAAAAGCGATTTATCATCCATATTTACAATTGCCGTGTCTGAAAGAATCCCATTTTGGTATTTCCTAGCAAGGTCATGAAGATAACTAGATTTACGACCCGAAATTCCAATTTGCCTGAGCTGTTGAGTGTTCAAGGCAAGAACGGTTTCGGGAAGAACACCAGCGTCGCCGCCACAAAGGGCGATAAAACGGGTGTAAATAGATGTGCCAGCTTTGTAAGCCAGCTGCTGATATAGGATACTTCTAGTTAGGGCAAGGAATGGGGTTTGAAAACTGTCGAAGGTAGGACGTTGATGGAGGTCGATCAAAGGTGCAAGGAGCGGATCCGCATTCCCAAGATGCCGAAGCGCGATTTCCACCTCGCCTTCACAGGAAAGTGATCGGGCTGGCAGCACTGGAGCAGACGCGAAGGCGGCGCGTTGTTGGGCCGTCTTGCTCTTGTGAGATTTCCCGGTGACGATAGGTTTCGGCCCATCCGGAATGGTGACAATCTGAGAGGAATTCGGATCCGATTCAGCGGGCGAGAGCTTTCGAATTTTCCGTGGACGCAAAGGCATTTTGGATGGCAGAGAAGAGGTTTGCGATGGCGCATTCATCACCTCGCTTAGTGCTATAGTGGCTTGAGCAATAGTGGTTGTAGAGTTGGAGGATTCATGAAGCGCGTTCTGAGCCTGCGATTGCGTTTGAGTCTGAACCTGCACTTGCGTTTGCTCTCCCATATGTAAGAAATTCAATTCAACCTCTATTTTCCCTCCACTCAGACTCTTCGGTTGAGAGGAAACACAGTGTAAGAGTCGGAGTCAAGACGGCGGCGGCGACGGCGGCGGAGAATCAGAAAAGGGGCGAAATTCGATAACCAAGGTGCAGAGCATAAGTGTTTGGAGTCTAACAGAAAGAGAAATTGAAAATCAATTGCGAAATAGAACAGGACAGAAAGCACAAATGAATTTTCAATGGCATCGCGAATGAAGAAGGAGATCCCGGTGCTGCTGTTCTTCTTTCATGCTCTCTCTTTCTCTTCTCCGTCTCCGTTTCCGGTCGCTCGCTCCTCCGTTCTTGATCCCAACTGGCTTTCGATTTCTCCTCCAGACTGGGAAATCAACTTTCCGCTGCTTCACGTTCTCAAAATTCTCCCACCCTCCGCCCATTGGGCAAGGTTTCTTGGGCTGGCCCAAATTCTAGGAAAAAGAGGCTCTTTTGTTCTCTCACCCTAGGCCCATGGTCCATGATTATAAGATGGGCCAGGATCATGGGCCTGTTCCATGATGATAATATGGGCCAAGATCCAAGAAGAAGAAAAAGGCTTTGCTTGCGTTATTGGGCCCCCATCCGAGTCAATGCAACGCTTGCAGAGAAAACGGTCGGGTCTATCGTGGCACAATCACAACCCTCCATGGCTGAAATATATAAATTTAGCAGACAACGGCAGGGTGATCTCTCCCGCCCTCTCCCATCTCTATTTCCTGCCATTTTTCCTTTCCTTTTTCCCATTGCAACGAGAAATAACCTTCGTTTCTTTCAAGATTACGTCTGATTCTTTGGCGATCAGGCCAACAGATTGGCATTTGATTACGAAACCTATTTTTCTTCTTTTTGATCGGAAAGTGACGTAATAGATCATCGTCGATTTGAAGCAGAGCAGAAGAGATGAGTTTCAGAGACGAGAATGACGAAGCGAGGGATCTCAGGAAGCCGTTCCTGCACACCGGAAGTTGGTACCGTATGGGATCGAGGCAATCGAGTATGATGGGATCCTCCCAGGCCATTCGTGATAACTCTGTTTCAGTTCTTGCCTGCGTTTTGATTGTCGCACTCGGTCCAATCCAGTTTGGTTTTACCGTAATCATCGTTTCTGGATCTTCTAATGTGTATTCGTTACTGTACAAGAAAAATCATGAGAGAAATTTGATTGAATTTCAACATAATTTCACATTACTTGGTGCAGTGTGGCTATTCATCTCCCACGCAATCTTCGATAATGAAGGATCTTCAACTCACAGTCTCCGAGGTGTGGATTCATAATGCCTTCTGTTCTTTCCCCCAATATCACATTGATCTTTTGATATCTGATTTTTGGTTCAGTACTCTATATTCGGTTCTTTATCCAATGTGGGCGCCATGTTTGGGGCTATATCCAGTGGTCAGATAGCCGAATACATCGGGCGAAAAGGAGTAAGATCCCTTCATGAATCATTTTCCATTTTCCATTTCCATTTAGATTAATTTGACTTGAGATTCATTGCAGTCTTTGATGATTGCTGCAATTCCTAACATTATAGGATGGCTTGCTATATCATTTGCAAAAGTAAGTTGAATGATTATCCTAATGAATTACTGCAAATACGTTGAAATATAATGGTGTTTTTGTTAATTTAATGCTTTGTAGGATTCTTCTTTCCTTTACATGGGGAGGTTGTTGGAAGGTTTTGGCGTGGGAATAATCTCGTATACGGTTAGACATTGAGCAATCGGTTATGTTAAATAAAAACAAGTTTGCTTCGAACAGAATCTTGAGAATTGAAGGCTTGTTGATGATTGTAGGTTCCTGTTTATATTGCTGAGATAGCTCCCCAGAACTTGAGAGGCGGCCTTGGCTCGGTTAACCAGGTTGGTTTCGCCATTATTTTGTGTTGCTATGCTATTGTGTCCCAAGTTAATAATCTCTTTTCTTGCTGCTTGCTAGCTCTCTATCACCCTTGGAATAATGCTTGCTTATCTGCTTGGTCTTTTTGTACCGTGGCGACTGCTTGCAATTCTGGGTAATTCATTGGATGAATCCTTTTTCCTGTCTAAAATGAAATGGGTTTTGATTGTTGTCATTTCCTTCTTCTTATTTGTACAGGAATTTTGCCTTGTACGATTCTGATTCCTGGATTGTTCTTCATCCCAGAATCTCCTCGGTGGCTGGTGAGTTTCTCTGAGTAGATAACTTCATGATACATTACCATGTTTACGTTCTGTTTATGAGTTCTTTTCAAGCTAAGTTCAGGCGAAAATGGGAATGGCGGACGAGTTTGAAACATCCTTGCAAGTTCTTCGGGGATTTGATGCTGATATCTCGATTGAAGTGAATGAAATCAAGGTAAATAGTGACCTAATTCCTCAAGAACTGGTTACAAGACATAAATATGGTTTGGCCAATTGTTTATCTGTCTGATGATGCATATGATGCAGAGATCTGTAGCAACGACAGGCAAAAGAACAACAATTCGTTTTGCAGAACTTAAGCGGAGAAGATACTGGCTTCCTTTGATGGTATAACTAGCTTTCATTCAAGAACCATATTTGAGAGTTTAATTGATATTTGCCATGATCCAAAATGCAGATTGGTATTGGATTACTAATGTTGCAGCAACTTACTGGAATTAATGCGGTTTTGTTCTATTCAAGTACCATATTTGCAGCTGCTGGTAACGAAAAAATCTGGTTGACAGTTTATTGCAAGTAACATAGACTAGTTTTTTTTTTTTTTTTTTTTTTTTTTTTTTTTAAATTAATAAATATACTATTTTAATATTCAAGGAGAATAATTCGACTTTTTACCAAATTACCCCTTCATTTAATGAGGACTAATTTTGCCGTGGTTTTCCTATAATTGCTGTCCTCTTTGATAAATTATCCAAATTCTATTTATTGTTTTTCAAATTCTTTTTTTTTTTTTTTTAAAAC